CTGCGGAACAAGGTGGAGGCGGGGCCCCGAACTCAAGCAAGGTTAGACAAGCATATGAGAGGGGCAGGAGTAGTACAGGCAGGAACCGCCTCGGAAGGGACAAGAGGCCACCTGCAGACACCCGTGAACCGAGGAAGGAATCAGGTGGAGAGAACAAGAGCTGCCCAGTATGGGCTAATAGCCCTGCAGTAGGCACCTCGGGTGATACGGTCCACGTTCTCAAGTACGTATGTACACCCATTCCTACTCCCAAAAACAAAAACAGCGTCAGGACGAAGGAGACGCCAAAACCGCACCAACTCACCTGCAGAACATAGGCCCTGAAGGGCCATGACGCAAGCGTTCGAGTCCGTATCCGCCGGAGGCGGCCAGTGCGCCCATGCTGGAGAGGAGAGGAGCAGCGAAGGAGGCTCCCCACCCTAGAACGCAGGGAAAACCTCATGAATTCCACACAGCGGCACCCCAGAACACCCCCAAAGCAACGGGGCACGGATGGGAATAAGAAAAGAGCGAGAGGCGAAGCCCCCCCGAGAGAATTGGAGCAGAACACGTGTGCACACCGCCCGGAACCAAAACAAACTCCCACGGCGCATGCGCAGGACGTGAAAGAAAGTAGCCCAACCAGGCGAGAAGTAGCCCAACAAGGCGAGAAGTAGCCCAACAAGGCGAGAAGTAGCCCAACCGGCTACAAGGAGCCCAAACGGTCACAAAGGAGCCCAACCTGTCCAGAACAGAAGGAACCAGTATGGAGGCAAACTCCGGGAAGCCGCAAAGGCCAACCGCACCGCAGGCGAAGAGATGCGGTTAGCTGAAAACCTCCTGAAGACAGAACCGAAGAAACCACAGGGACACGGAACCGAACCCGGGGAGGAGCAGAACCCAAGCCCAAATCGTACGCAGAGGGGGGAAAGAAAACCCCACTCCTCGTAACAGTAAGCCCCGCTCAGAAGGACGGAAATCCAGGCGGGGCGCAATGGAGCCCAAGGCCCCCAAGGCCGCTCCTCCCCAACCCCAGGAGCCTCTGCACCAGGCCCCAGGGCCGAGTCGACCTCCAAAGCCCCGGCCTCACAAGAAAAAGCCGGGGCAGCCGAGAGAGCTGAAAGAAAAGGGGGCCCACTGGTCAAAACCCCGGAGCATCGGCCGGAGGAACAGACTCGAATGCCTCCGCAGCTACCCCGGACGGGGCAACCCCTGAAACTGCCCAAGTCTCAGAACCTCTAACCCCGCCCCGACCCAGAAGCCTGCAGATGCGTAGGGGCCGGAAGCAGGAGGGGGAAAAACAAGGGGGGGCGTGGAAGGAACCAAGGCCGAAGTGACCAAAACCACCCAAGTCTGGGTCCCTACACAAGCGGAGCAGCATCGGGGCGTCCGGGGAAGCGACAAACCAGAGCTCGTTGCAACATCCTACCCTGCAACGCGCGAGCTGCCTGCACCCACGGGAATTCATCAGCAGACTGGGTGAATGGAGTCACGAACAAGCAACAAAGCTCGCAGGACTCAAGGGTCGAATGTGTCACCGACCCAACAGGCAGCATGACGGAGGCAAAAACAAGGAGAGTCACCCTGAGACAAAGGGACAGAGCAACCCTCAACTCGCACAAAGCGAGAGGGGACACAAGGGTCTCCACTATCGGACCCGAGAGCCCCCGGGGGGTTTCCCAGGGCCCCTAGACTGGGTCTGCTAAGGGTTATCACAGGCAGGGTACTGCTAACCGGCGCCCCACGGGACGTGTCCACTCGCGAGGGCAAAGCAGGGGGTGCCACCACACAAACGAACCTAATATAAGAGGGGGGGGGGGGGGAGGAAACACAAGGAAGACCCCCCTACCAGGCAAAAATAAAAGAAAAAACCACACAAGTGGACAATGTACCCAGAGGGAACAGAGCCGGCCGCTGTCATAGGTGAAAACTAGCTACGCAGTACCCTGCGCCTCACCAGTGCCATAACTACCACTTACCCCAAGGTAAACAAGGGAGTGAAACCCCCAAACCCTCAGGGCGGCCAAACGCCAAGCAGCGAAAAGCCAACAGAGGTAGACCCAAGGTGACTTGTGGAAGGCAACCCCAAGCCCCAAGGGCAGTACTTACAGGGCACTCAGGGAAGGTGACCCTAAGCACATGCAGCCCGAGTACCTGAGAATACTACTCCCAGCTCACACGACCACCGTAAGAGCAGCACTGCAAACAAGTCACAGCACTGAAACAAGACTGGAGCTGGAGCCACACGACCGTGCATGATCCCATCAGCCGAGGAACTGGGGCGCGGATCGCCGGCGCAGGGGTCTGGGGCTCCCCCTTCCCCCTCCTGGGGAGGGGGGAGCTGCGCAGACATGCGGCGCGGCTCGCGTGACGTCATGCTTGTTAGTTCGTTTTCCTGGGGGAGTTCTGTCCACTCGTTTGTCGATTTTTGTTGTTTAACCAGAATAGGGGTTTTTGTGGCGCTTACCTTTCTGGGTGCCTGTCCGAGTCGATGGCAGATATACCTGGTTGATACCTGGTTGATGGGGTTCTGGGAGTTCTTCTACTCCCCAAGCCCGGCCCGAGGCCAGGCTTGACTTGTGAGAGTTTGGTCCACCAGGCTGTTGCTTGGAGCGGCCCGCAGGCCCACATACCCATCACAGCCCGGTTGGTCCGGCACTCCTTGGAGGAATAAATCTAGTTTCCTCTTGAAAATGTCCACGGTTGTTCCGGCAATATTTCTTATGCTTCCTGGGAGGACATTGAACAACCGCGGACCTCTGATGTTTATACAGTGTTCTCTGATTGTGCCTATGGCACCTCTGCTCTTCACTGGTTCTATTTTACATTTTCTTCCATATCGTTCACTCCAGTACGTTGTTATTTTACTGTGTAGATTTGGTACTTGGCCCTCCAGTATCTTCCAGGTGTATATTATTTGATATCTCTCTCGTCTTCTTTCTAGTGAGTACATTTGGAGGGCTTTGAGACGATCCCAATAGATTAGGTGCTTTATTGCGTCTATGCACGCCGTATATGTTCTCTGTATTCCCTCTATTTCAGCAATCTCTCCTGCTCTGAAGGGGGAAGTGAGTACTGAGCAGTACTCAAGACGGGACAACACAAGTGACTTGAAGAGTACAACCATTGTGATGGGATCCCTGGATTTGAAAGTTCTCGTAATCCATCCTATCATTTTTCTGGCTGTCGCAATATTTGCTTGGTTATGCTCCTTAAACGTTAGGTCGTCAGACATTATTATTCCCAAATCCTTTACATGCTGTTTTCCTACTATGGGTACATTTGATTGTGTTTTGTACTCTGTATTGTTTAAGGTCCTCATTTTTACTGTACCTGAGTGCCTGGAATTTATCACTGTTAAACATCATGTTATTTTCTGATGCCCAGTCGAAAACTTTATTAATATCAGCTTGAAGTTTTTCAATGTCCTCAGCCGAGGTAATTTTCATACTGATTTTTGTGTCATCTGCAAAGGATGATACGAAGCTGTGACTTGTATTTTTGTCTATATCTGATATGAGAATAAGGAAAAGCAGCGGTGCAAGGACTGTACCCTGAGGTACAGAGCTTTTCACTGCACTTGGACTAGATTTTATATGGTTGACCGTTACTCGCTGAGTCCTGTTTGACAGAAAACTGAGTATCCAGCGTCCTACTTTACCGATTATTCCCATTGACTTCATTTTGTGTGCTATCACACCATGGTCACATTTATCGAAAGCCTTTGCGAAGTCCGTGTATATCACCTCAGCATTCTGTTTTTCTTCTAATGCCTCAGTGACTTTGTCGTAGTGCTCAAGTAGCTGTGAGAGGCACGATCTTCCCGCTCGAAATCCATGTTGGCCTGGGTTGTGAAGGTCATTGGTCTCCATGAAATTGGTGACCTGACTCCTAATCACTCTCTCAAATACCTTTATGATGTGCGATGTTAGTGCAACTGGTCTATAATTTTTTGCCAATGCTTTGCTCCCTCCCTTGTGTAGAGGGGCTATATCTGCTACTTTAAGTGCATCTGGTATCTCCCCCGTGTCCAAGCTCTTCCTCCACACTATACTGAGTGCCTGTGCTACCGGCACTTTGCATTTCTTTATAAATATTGAATTCCATGAGTCTGGACCTGGGGCCGAGTGCATGGGCATGTTTTCAATTTCTTTTTCAAAATTTAGTGCGCTCGTGTTTATATCAGTTATATTTACAGGGGTTTGAATATCCCGCATAAAGAAATTGTCTGGATCTTCCACCTTCATGGAAGATCCATGAAGGTGGATCTTCCTATATCTTATAGGAAGCATTCTATATCTTATATAGAAGATAGAATGCTCCAAATCACATGTGCATTTCTATGGGCCATTGCTCCCCGTGCCTCTCTGAGGGGGCCAGGTTCTGGCTCGTGGTCCCCGGTAGGCCTAGAACTCCACCCACATCGACTGATGCAAAATAGTTAGGGTATCCATATCAGCCATGGATAGCTCCGGGGAGCCGTAGGGACTCCCCCCAGAAATGAAGTTTTGAGTGTACTTCATGTGGAAAGCTCCTTTTTTAGCAAGACATGCTGTTGATCTCTTTAGTCCAGACATTCCCAATGTTTTAGAGAGAATCTTCTTGGCAAAATATGCAATGGGTAAAGTCCTGGTATTCCAATGACAAGTAGGTCACGACCTTACATTTGGTAGCAGCTGGAAAACAACAGCCAGGTGGATCAACTTGTGAACAGGAGTTTTTCCTTGGAAATCAGCTGCTGCACACCAATTTGAAAGATTTTGAGTACAAGTGTTCCTTAAAGTTCATTTCAAGCTGGATTTAGAATTCTTCAGTGTTTACCTTGCACCAGATGACCTAGCAGGGATGTGTAAAAGAGCCCCACTATAAAATGTTGACCTGCCCTGTGAAGACCACAACATTGCAACTATATTACTTGCATTAACAGCTTCGTTTGGCTAATAGTTTGACCAAAGTCCATAAAATAGTTGTGTGTATTCTGGACTATTTACTGTACATCATCTGGCTTAAGACAAACTTACCAATCTAAATGTGAGGTTCTGTCCCATCTCAGGATGTTGTGTAATCTTGTCTAAATTGGTAGCAATAACAATTAAATCTCTACCATCAACTAAACCAGCAGCTACTAATTCCGAAGCCACACCCTCGGATGTGTCTCGTCCAACGCTGAATTCAAAACGAATATCATTAAGTTCTCTTTTTTCGTTCCTGAAAGATAAGAAATGAGGGCAAACATTTAGTCTACACAGTTTACAAAAATGTATTACAACTTAACATTAAATTATATTAAAAACTAACAACGTATTACAGCATATTATTTAAACTGAGTAGCACTCTATTACAAGACTAATGATCACTCACAGCTGCATTAAACATTCTTTTACAATTTAAATTAAAACATATCACATTGGTCAGCATTTTAAATTTTTTAATATATTCAGAACAGAAAACATGTGATTTAATCAATAAGTAACCCCAGGTGTTTTAACACTAGCGATCTGGCTTTCTCTGTACGCTTCTGACCTTACCCCTCGGACACTTCCTGGATGTGAACGGCACGAAGCTACACACCCCGTGAACTCGTCAGATGAGATACCTGAAGCGACCATCCCCAAAGTACCACAAACTGAAGAAACCCCCGCCGAAACAATAAATCACTGGGTAACAGTCCGAATGGAACCAAATCACAGAGCCTGGAGGAATCTAAACTCTCCCCAGCACCTGTAACACCACCGCAAATTCCTGCAGAGTACATATTGTGCACCCGACGAAGGGCAGCGGTGTCAACGACCCTGGCCAGACTGGTAAGCGCTGGTCACAAAGCCCCAACTGATCGCTGAAGCATCTGTGAAAACGTCAAGAGAGGGCAGAGGAAAACACCAGAGAACCGAACCCTGAAAATCCGAAGAGGAAGCTGACTATGTTGTAGCCAGCGCAGGGCTCCCAGAAACTGTACCCAGCAATCACAAGCAATAAAAGGGTTGCCCCAAAGGAACGAACAGCCTCCAAAACCAAACCCTGCCCAACAAATAAACCAGAAGGGCAAAGTTCACACCCCAGCACAGCTAATCGAATAACCACCGAGTCATCCATCTCCCCCTCATCACCAACAGATGGCAGGCCTGCAGCCAGTGCAAGGCTGAAGGAGGGAGGGAAAATAACCAAGAACCCCAAGTGAGACTCAACCAGGTCTGAACATGGGACAGAACCAACTGGGACTTCTGCCAGTTCACCAGGAACCCGAACTCAGCGAGCTGAGAAAGAACCAGATCCATGGCTGGCAGACAAGCGGACTATCTGGGTGCCCACACCAGCCAGTCGTCGAGGTATGCCAACAACTGAAGACCTAACAAATTAAGATGGGGCCACCACAACTCGAGTCAAGCTTGTAAAAGTGTGGGGTGCCAGATTCAACCCGAACGGGAAGATCAGCTTTAGCTGAATGTTTGGCTTCAACTGCGCTAAATCATGCCTTGAATCTGAAGTCCACAGACACTTCAGAGCTGGGAGGAGAGGAGAAGGGCAAAACCGGACCACTGGGAAAGGAAGAAGAGGTGTAAATGGAACCAAGGTCGAGGTGACCAACACCCAAATCTGGGTCTCTAAACACGAAGCGGGGCAGGGCTGCAAGAGTACAAACCTACCACCAATACCAAAAGATCAGAAACCTCTGCGCCGGAGGAGAGCCGGAAGCTCCCCGACCCGATCCACAGAGGCCACTGCCAACAAAGTATGGCCTTTGAGAAACAATCTTGAACCGAAGGAGCTACCACAAACTGAGGAGAGGAAGGATAAAAGGGCACCCTGATCAAGGACCAGGACGGCTCAGGCGGCGCATGAGCAGGCCAGATGTGAAACACAACATGAGAAACGTACGGAACAGGGTGGATTTGACGTCCAACCCGAACGCAAGCCGGAGCGACTACGCCAGCGCCGCACAAAACGAGGAGACAGTAGGAAGCATCAATTAATTAAGTCCTGAAAAACCCAAGAAAGGACAAGATAACCCAATGTGCAAGAGAAGACAACCAACGAAGAGCAAGGAAATGCCGAATAGAAATGCCAGGAAAGTCATTCTTTCGCCGAGACGAAGCTCACAGGTGGGACACCATCAACTAAGCCACCTGATTACCATAGAGATGGTGATACACCCACGTTAGCAGAGCAGATGCGAAGAGCTGAGGAGAAGACTGAACCGGTACGTACAGGACCGGTCCAACCTGCCGAAAGAGTCAGAGCCGCGGGAAACGCCCCGGCTTCGGACACCTATCAAACAGCATCTGAAAACAAAGCTGGGCTGGCCACCAAGAGACCACAAGGACTACTCTCTTTGGGAAAGACTCCAAACGAGCCAGAATCCAAAGCAACAGCTGGACCGGGAGAAGAGGAACAGGTAACTCCACCTCGACCAGTCCTGCTGAAGGCATCCACTGTGAACGCCTCGCAGGCGGGTAAGGGCGCCACATAGAATGGGAGACGCCGAGATCACACTGACGCGAAGATGTCCATGTCAAGGAGTCTGTACGTTCGGCAGAGCCAACGAAATGAGTTGATGACAACCGGCCAAACCGTGAACAGAGGAATGAACTGACAGGCCATCCGCAAGGACCTAAGAGAATCCCCGTGGTTCCAGCAATGAACCACCAAAAAACAGTTTGAATGGAGCTGGATGGGCGAGCCCCGAGTGACCTGAACCCTCCGAAGCGCGAACCAGACAGCCACGAACTCCCAAACTATGCTGTGAGCCTGACAGATGGACAGACCCCACCATCCCTGGACGGCCTGGTGAGCACTGGCCACAAAGCCCCAGCTGAGAGCTGACCCGTCTGTGAACACATCGAGAGAAGTCTCTGGGAGGCGTCAAGGCACGAAACCCCGAAAACCCCAAAGAGGAAGCCAGTGACACAGTACCAACACAAGATCCCCGGAGGACGAACCCAACGATTGCGAGAGAGGCGGAAGGGGAGTCCCCGAAGGAACCGAACAGATGCCGAAGCCAAACCCGACCCGACGGGCAGACCAGCACGGCGAAGTTCAGACTCCCGCACAACCACTCGAACAACCGTCAAGTGACCCGGGACCCCCCTCATAAACAGCCAAAGGCGGGACCATAGCCACAGCAACGTTTCTTGAGGGAAAGACACAGAAGTGGTCCGAGAGTTCTAAACAAGACCTAGCCAGGTCCGAACCCGGGACGGAACCAGATGGAGTGGTCTCCAGATCTCCAGGAATCCGAACCCGGCAATCTGGAAAGAACCACACCCCCTGGCGTGTGGGAAATTTTACCCACCATATCTATATTATTATCTAAGAAATGTATTATTTCTATATCATATCTAAATCATATCAAAATCATATCAGAACCATAGCAGAATCACTATAGATTCATTATACATCTTGATCCTAGATGACAATGCCACTAGGATCACGTACACCATAGGGCCCTATAAGTGCCTACGTGACTTTGTACATGATCTCTCAAGGATCCAGAAGCTTCTAGAAGGATTCTTAATTGAAAAACTTTTGGAACATGATTCGATATCCGGTAGGGATTATAAATCGAATCCTTAATAAGAATTGGTAGTACTATCAAGTACTACTTATCATCTTTAAATCCTATATCTAATTATATTATAATCACATCTTATCTCAATCATATGTCTAGACAGTAAAAATAATCAATCAATATTCATTGGAAGCTACCCCTCTCAAGGAAGAGGGAGGGGCATCTCGGGAACAAGGCGACCAACTGGGACGCCCCCGGCGAGAACGCGTTTGTTGACAAAACAGTGAACAAGTGACGGTACCTTAGCAAACATTACTTAGCTCAGGAAAGCCTTATCGAATTATCATTATCACCAGTGATTACTCTCTAGAACTGGGGGATTACCTGGACAATATCTACAAGGAAAATGCCTAGAACATTTATATCAAATAAGAGTGTATAGTGGAGCACACAGTGACACTGTCTCCACCTCCATCCTCATCTTTCTGCAACTGCAATTAAGGACAATCACGTAGCTACGCTACTAGATTTACATACAGCAAAGCTGTGATATAAAATATTGTGCCTAAACTCGCAACAAGAGAGTTATCTAGTCTGGCACACTGTCAGACAGGCACCCCGGCAGTCAGAGAAGTATATTGATGTTATTTAGTATATTAATTGGTCAATTGTATGCTTGTATAACTTTAATATCTAATAAGTCTGTCTGTCGGTTATAAAGTAAGGCAACGTCTCATATTTCAGTAAGTTTATTAATATTGTAGTGCAGCAGTTGAATCTTCTCTAAGCACAAAACCTCATGATCCTTTAAACCTTTAAACGATTCTTCGCGGCAAGGGATCGTATTCCAGGGACCATAGGATTAAGGACTTGCCCGAAACGCTACGCGTACTAGTGGCTGTACAAGAATGTAACAACTCTTGTATATATCTCAAAAAAAAAAAAATGAGTGTCCCTTGTGTGGTAAAAGATTCAGTCACGGTAAATAAAACCTCATGAGTGTCCATTGTGTGGGAAAAGAATCAATCAGGCTGACTGAATCTCATCACATAAATTGAATATATCTGCATATATACTTGAATATATAAATTAAGTTAACAATTGTTTGCTTAGTTATCATATAAGTTCATTTAATTGAATATTATTTCTAGTACTTAGTTAATGGTACTTAAACTACATTTAAAGTCATTTATCATACTTCTACAATTTAAATTGTTGTTTATAGTATTAGAATATATTGGCTGTTGATAGTTATGGTGCTAGGCTAGACTATGTACATGTTTAAATCTCTGATTTAAATAGAACCAGTCTTCATAGAACTGAATTTATTAAATCTTATCCTTGTATAAAATACAAGCTGATATGAGATAACTGTCGGCAGGTGGACTGTGGATCTTCAATCAACCTATCAACTAATTCACCCCACCTGCCCGTTATAGCCCACAATCTATCATTAGGAAAAGAGGAGTTAGGATTTACAACCCTAGCTAGAGACTTTAGTTGAATTAAATTGCAGACAGTAATTTTTAACACTTTAATGCGCGCGGTCCCCGTGAAAAAAACACTGCGCATTGTGCGCGCGGCGTTTTGGGCTCTTGAGCGTAAACACCAAACAGTGTGTAATCTTTTCACTCTCCTGACACCAATGCTCGAGCTACGTATTTCATTTTGGTATCACTGTGTTTGCAATAAAATTCTCTAC